CTGAAGTCTCTATTGCCTTGCACAGACAAAAGAGAGATTAAAGACACACAATATGACAGCTAAGGAACCTGTAAGCACAATCAGGACATCGTCAAACTATATGTTTTACTGATATATACAAAAATATGTATACATCTATTTTGTTTATATATATATATATGTACGTATATATAATTTAGGGGGTTTTATTTTCTCTTTTTCAATCAGCAAATCCAAGACGTAGCAGCACAGAACAGCTGTGTAGAGATATTCAGTGTAGCTAAGTGATTTACTTACTGAAAAGTCTTTTATGTTTGATATTAATTTTGGACTAAGAATCTTGCTAATTTTCATTTTTAATTAGGGTTCTCTAAAGATGGAGAACCTCCCAGGAGGCACCTCCACACAGTTTATCTAACACTGATGGAGTTAATGCACACACTTCAGAAGACAGATAGATAGAATTTCACAGATTTGCCTGATAACATCTACAAAACAAACAGTGTTTCCAGCAAATCAGGTTAAGAATAACCAAATAAACTAGTTGCTATCATTTGAATTAGGGCTGTCACACTGAGCCACCTGTTTGGCAGTATTTGCTGCCAGAAGTGAATTATAGATCCATGCAACTCCCGACCGAGAAAACAAACCCGTACCCACATCAGCTCTTTGCTGTGGCTAACTGGACATCAGGCAAGAACTGTGCGCAGTTTGACATAGTCTTAATATGAATCCTCTGGGAGAGAATGTTCAATCTGCTTAATGCAGATCATCTTACAAATATTAACAACGAAAAAAAGAAGATGAAAAGTACAACTTTCATACACTGAAACACCACATAACCTTGACAAGTGAAATAAAAATAACTTTCAGAACAATGTTTAAAATCCTTCTTTTTTTATATAGTGTCATTATCAAATTTGGATAAACAATGGCGTGACCCACACTGTTAACAACGGTTAGCATGAAATTCCATGAAAAAATTCAATATTAAATTTGCAGAAGGTTGCATTTTAAACATTTCCTCTGTCTGACTGTGGCTGATAAAATATTGTTACGCATCTAAAATGTTATTTAAATATGAATGGTCAGGAAATATTAAAGTACATGAAATATTCATATTTTATAAGATATATTTATTGGCTAATACAATTGCCTTTCACTCTTGTGGGCCTTGCTCTAGAGCACTTATTTCAGCAAAACTTTCACTGGCTCCCCTGGAAGTTTATCTGAATAAATATTGCAGTCCTGATAGCTTTTACCCTTCAGTAACTTTATGTACAGCTCACAAACATTCTGTGCTTCTATGGAAAAATCAGGGCCACCCAGCTCCCAAATTCTCATTTAGGAAAATCTCCTATTATAAGGGATGATCAGAGATTTACCTAAGTAAAGACTTGAGGATGGAACCGTGCGATTTTTCCCTTCTTGTATTACTCTCATGGAACTGCCTAAGCACCGTTGCTTTGCCTATGAAACTAATGCTATTTTTAGAGGTGTACAAAGATCTAGCTTCAGTAACTAGTATAAACTCTGGTTATAGGAGTGAAAAAGAAAAAAAGAAAAAAAAGAAAAAAGGGGGGAAAAAAAAAGAAAGACAAGGAAAAAGCAATCTGACAAACTAAATAAAATGACCCTACAGTAAAGTAAAATGACCCTACAGCAAAGGTGTTATTTTCTAAGAGCAACAAATCACATTGACACACTAGCTCAATTACACTGTCAAAATATATACAACTTTTGTTTAATTGTATTTGAAAGTAGTTACCGTACCTTCTGCTGTAATCTCGGCCATAATGATGATGGTAAGAGATACTCTGTTAGAAAGGTCAAGGTATATTGTGGCAGCTTAGATAAAACTTCTGGATTGCCGGCTCTTGCAGGAGTTGCAGAACAAAAAGGAAGGAGGTCCTTTGCTTTTTCTAATTCTGTTCCTTCTTCTTTTGTGCCCCTCTGAACTTTCTGTTTCCTCTGCAGACTCCAGCCCACCCAGAACAACCTAAGGCCTTCCAAAGGCAACGCACAGAGCTCAGTATCAGCTTCTAACAAAAATAGCCATGCCTCACAGTGAATCTTCAGCACATTTTTTCTAACATCCTAAGAACTTTTCACACGGTACATAAAAGTAAAAATACCCAGCTCCAAACAGGACAGGAAAGCATGGAAATGCAGCAAAAAGCAAAAGAAATGGGAAGAACTGTTTAGAGCTCCTGCAGCCTCCCTAACCTAATTACAGTTCTTTGGGGTGTATGTTAGGAAACATGAAACATAGAGTTCAAAGTAACCTTATCCATCTCAGCTCAACTTTATTCTTAGCACACTCAGTGCTTAGCACATTCTTCCCTGCCTTGTTTGGTTTGGGGAGGGTCTTATGAAGCTTACCACTGACTAAGGGGGAGGGTAAATTTAGGTAATTTTCTCCACTTCGATTCTTAGTCCTAGTTACAGGGCCAATAAAGACACTTATAAACATATAAATTTATAAAACTGGTAATTCTGGGGAGGTCAATTTTTTGATTCCCTTTTGATTTGCAATGATGACACATACCTTTGAAGTGCATCTAAGAATTAAAAATCACTGGTGAAAAAATAAATAGGAATAGTTTAGTTTTACTATAGTAATAGTTTAAATACTCTAAATGAGTCAAAGTAACATGAAAGAAAATATTAAGAAGATTAGATTTTTTTCCCAGGTCTAATTTACAGAAAAGACAAACTTGGTTAAAAAAAACACTGAGATTGTAAACAAAGTTTTCTAAAAGTGATAACAAGTAGACTTTAACAAAAATTAGAGTAAAAAATAATTTAAGCAACAATAATAAATGAAAAACCTGAGCAATCTATTGATTGCATTTTTGCTTGCAATCCCACAGTTGTAAGATTAGTGCAAGAGCTTGAAAGTAAGATTAACTAAAAAGTGCCCTCGAGCCAGCATGCCTCTACATAAATGTCACCGTCACATGAAATCAGATGCCATCTTAAACAGTTCTGACTAGGGAACCTATAGTCAGCTCTTCTCCACTACATGGGCTGGCATTTGCACTTCTCATCTTCCCTGCAGGAGATAAAAGCACCTGGCTCTGTGGCAAAGGAGAGGAATCTGCTTATCCAGCGCACAAGATGCAGAAGGGAAGACTCAGTGAACAGAAGTTAATAGTCACCATCAGGATTTCTTTCACTGTAACCCACTTCCAATGCGTCACATGACTAAAAATGTAAAAAATAGCCATTTTCTAGCCAAAGCTTAGCATCAGTGCTCCATCCCTTTTCTCCTTCAGCTCTGTTGAACAAATCTTTTGCTCTAACAGCTGTGGCTGCGCAATGCTCAGTGCTCAGTCCTATTCTCATTGTCCTCCTAGCCCTCCCTTTTTTCTTCTTTAGCCTAGGCCTGTCTTTCTGTGAAGATCCTCCTCATTGAGGCTGATGAGAACATTTTAGATAAAGCCTTATTCCTTCAGAAATGCTGTTTCATGAGTGCCTAAATGTTCTGTGGAATCATATGCACAGCAATAAACAGCACCCCACAATAGCTTAGTGGTTAGTAAACTGTGGTAAACTGTGTGATACTAAAGTAAAGCTCCTGTCCTTCTTAATTACTCTATTTTCTTCTGCCGGAGCATTTCCATTTTGCATGAACAATTAAATATTTTGGGTCATCTGTAGCTCCACAGCTAGGCTTGAGATGTGGGACATATCATCTCAGCTGATGCTGAGAGGACCAAGCACAAAGCAATCCATTACCCTGAAGTCAGGATTGCTTTCACATGTATTAACATATGAAGTGAAATAAAATAACAAAGGTTCAGTTTGGGTACATAAGGGGAGAAAATTGGGGATAATATCCAGAACTGAATTTTAGCTTTGCTTTTTGGTTACGTAGCAAGCTCCTGAGACCGTGGGCATCTATGCTTGTTTAATTGTATGTGTATGGTTTTGTGTCCCTCATTGTTTCCATTTTCAGCTCCTACCACGTGCCTTCTCGCCTCCATGCCTTACTTCCTTTACTGCTATTTTTTGCTCAACCCCCAGCCATAGGCTGATACTCTGAAACCAAAATATAAGAGCAGAGGAAGTGAGAGAATCCAACTGGACATTACTTTTCTGCACATCAGCCCAGCGGTCAGAGAGAGTGCTACTTGTTAATTTCTGTATCCCTTGTAGATGCAACAAATTCATTCTGGAAAGCAGGCTAAAGCTGTCATGCACAAATATCTTACAACAGACATAGATCTAGGCAACTGTATTGAGATTTACATAGTTGTTTACTCTTGGGGGGGGGAGGGGAGTCAGGAAAGCTATGTGTTATATTTACTGGAGACAATCACAACCTTTACAAAAATATGCCAGACTATGGTAAACAAAGTTCTGATTTTCATGTGCGTGCATGCATATATGTGCACTCACTTTCAGTAACAAATGTTACTTTCAGAAAATTATAGTGTTATGCTTTGTTCTGTAGGAGATTAAGGAAGGGAAATTCTCAAAATTAGGTTTAGGGCTCGTTAGAAGTTTTGTTAAAATCCGAAGTCTAGCTGCTGGCTCACTAGTCTATGAAATTCAAATTATGCAGAAGGCCAGCACAAAGTTTATATAGCTCTTCATCCCACAGAGTAAAGGTTAATTCCCTGGGTTAATTCCCTGACCTAGGTTACATATTGAAACTGACCCAGAATGCATATGAGTGGGAGCCTATCCTATCTAACTGGATGGAAATTTTGCCACTTTTGAAACATATCCTTCCTCTGTTCTTCTTCATATTATAAATGATAACAATAATGAAAAATTAAAAACTTTCCTTGGTTCTTTCAAGAGATGTCCAAACCTGGGCACATATAGAATTTCTTCCATCCGGTCTTAGTTACAAGATGAAAACAGTCTTGGCTCTGATCTTCAGGTAAGCAATAGGAACTCTCTTCCCACTCAAAGAAGCTACATCTTAAATAAACTGCCCCAGGATCGGATCTCAGATTCAGTGGTAATGGAGAGAGTTATAACAGAAGATTAATTTTGCCTCCTCATACAAGATTACAGAGCTATACAAGTCAGCATGAAAGATCATAAAACGAACGTTCTCTTTACTCTCTAGCTGCCTGGATAGAGAGCAAGTAGCAATCTTGTACAAAAGAAAAATCTGAAGAGGAGAGTAAGGAAGTCGCTGCAGATGTCTGCATGTGACCATATGCCTTGATTTCAGGTAGTGTTGCATTTAAGTGAGAGTCTTAACTAAAAAATCAAAGAAAAATAATATCTTGAACATTTTATTTTAGGAAAAAGTCAGAGGTTTACTATCTGACAAGCTCTACTACTAACTCCCACTTTTAAATGACAAGTTATGTTGTTTAAATAATCAAAGTAGGAGTACACAAATCCTTTATGAGCTAATTTCTGGGTTGCCATGATGATATTGCTAAAAAAGGAATAGAGAAAGACAATAGATCGCATTAAATTATTAGGTAATGAGAGGAGAGACTTTCATACTGATTCAAGAAAATATTTCAGGGATTGGATAAAACTGTCTCTCAACAAGAAAATGCAGAACAATGTTTGAAGTTATCTGCTAACATGTTACTAAGAAAATCTAAGAGTTCAGTCCTACAAAATCAAACTAAGCAAAAGAAAAGCGTTTTGTATCTCAGTACACACTCAGCAGCACAGCAGGGTCAAGGAAAGGAATCTTATCTTTAACTCTGATATATCTAATGAATTCTAGGAGTATATTGTTATCAGAAAACAATCAGTAATCAACCGGTATAGGCTGAATATAGAAAGGAGATATACAGCTAGGGAGATGATGATTGGTACTCGATTTATGAATACCGGTGAAAGTAAAGATGCATGCAGAAGCGAAGAGGGAATTAGAGCGGTGTCTGTCACTGAGCTATCAGGAACATATGAAGAAAAATACTAATATTTGTTTGGTGCATTCACTAGTTTCCACTAAAAGAAATATTTTCCCTCCTTTTTTTTTGGTTCAGGAATGCTGCTACGTATAGACGTGACTTTCATTAAGTTCCCATTGGTAAGATCGTATGTTATTCTGTAGGAACAGGAGAAGAAATTCACATTCTGGTTCCCATGAAGCCTAATCAGTCACAGATGTAGTTCTTGTGACCTTCTATGGACCTTTACATGCTCTGAAATAATTCTCTTCATTCAGGTTGAAATGTCATGAATAACACTTGCAAGATTTTTGGCATCACCATGTAAGTAAGGCATATCCAAAGTGCAGATAGACCTAAATAAGACCTCGGTTTCACTTCTAATTTAGATTAAAGCTTGGCACAGGTTTAAACATTTTCATAAATCAGTCTGCATCATTTTTCACTGAGACAGTCACATACATAGTACCTTTAAACATTTTCTTCTTTAAAGTGTAGGAGAGAATTAGTTAAACTGCATGGTAAATTTGTCCTGCATGTAATGTGAACTATTGGCAGATGAATGTAGAATACAATTAAGAAGCCCCATCTCTGTAGGCAGACTGGTCTGAATTCAAATCAGTGTCTGCTTGGGGACAGCTGACAAGCACGCCAGGGTCATATCACCCTAACGCTCTGAGCTCATTAAAGGACATTTGACAGGTTAGGTTTCACAGAAAGAAATTACTCTTAAACTACATGATGGAAAGCTAGCAGGTATAAAATAAAATATCTACGACACTGACTATTCCTCCTCACTATAGACAATGCCCCCAATTAGATATTATGCTGCAAAATTGCTGTTGTAACCTTGGCCTAGATGTACAATTGAATAATGAACCATTTTTAACATCAGAAAAGACCCACCGATTACAAAACTATTTGAATTCCAGGAAGCGAGGATGTTGTAAGATACCCTTACTCCATCCTGCAAGCTGGCTGAGTAGAGAGTCAAAG